CTGCCACATTTTAAAACTAGAAAGAACTTTGAAATCATTGAATAACCTAGTCCTATATACATTATCGCAAGATACATCACGCATAGAGAAAACACACTGGAACGACTAATCTCTCTTTCTCTCTTCATTTTATAAAGTTTTATACGTGATAGCATTTATTCCTGATCAAGTATTGATTTATTCGCATGACGCGCAACGCTGTAGTATCCATTTTGATTGTGGGTGCAATTCGAGATATACAGGAGCATGGTTTACATGTGACTGTAATAAAATGGAGAGAGAATACACGGTCGCATTCGAATAAGGAAAGGAGTGCGTTTAATCAGCCTTACTTATACAATTATTATCTACATTATTATTATAATAAATTTATAAGCATGATTTGTGTACGTATATATATATATATGTCGGCGTACTTTTAATTACAGCCTTGAGAGAATGCTGTGGACAACGATAATCTCCGAGCAACGCATGGCTTATTAGTGTTGTATGTTTTCGTATAATTATCGTTAACAAATGTTTCGTTTCATTTTCGTTGCCTCGACACTCATAACATTTATAAATGTAAAAATTCTAGGCTATTTAAATGGCTGTGATACGTGTACGTTCATAATTAATTATTATTATTATTATTTTTTTAATAAATAACTAAATACTTTACATTAATATAATTTATTTTATTATCGTTTTTTATATCATTTATTTATTTATCGTAATGTGCATCTCAACGAAAGATATTTTTTTTTTTTTTTTATTATTTTATCATTTAGCCTGTTGCTCTGAGCCTTCTTATTTCATAATGTAAAATATTTCCGAATCACAGTATTGAAACTGCTGATGAACAATTTATGAACTTATCCAATATTATAAGCCTTCCGATATCTTATCATATATACGAATATCGTTTCAGAGATACTAGATTTGTAGTTAGATATTTTAGGCCCCCATCTTAATAAAAGTGTCTTATTATGCAAAAAAAAAAAAAAAAAAAAAAAAAATTTAAAATCGTATTAAAGTAGCTCTTCATTTAGAATTATTTAAAAAAAGGTATTTTTTACTTTTTAATATTTTTTATAAAATTTTCTTTTTTTTTTTTTTTGCCCCCAAAATAAAAAAAATTTTTTTTTAAAAGGGGAAAAAAAAAAAAAAAAAAAAAAAAATTTAAAATCGTATTAACGTAGCTCTTCATTTAGCATTATTTACAAAGACGTATTTATTACTTTCTAATATTTCTTATAAAATTATCGTTTATTCATTGATTGCCGTCGAATTAAAAGCAATGTATTTTGAAGAGAGTGAAAAAAAAAAAAAAAAAAAAAAAAAAA